ACCCTACACAGACAACAAGGATAGTTATGGTTTGTTGTTTTCCATCTCACTGCCAACTGGGCCCTGGCAGTAAACATGAAGAAAACCAATGTCATGATTTTCCAAAAACGCCCCAGATGTCAGGAGAACAAATACCAGTTTACCATAAACACCAACATGATTGAACATAGTATGAGTTATACCTACCTTGGTATAACCATAACTGCATCAGGGAGTTTCAACATGGCAGTAAATGCACTAAAAGAAAAAGCTCGAAGACCTCTACACGCAATTAAGAGAACATTTTATAATTCTCAAATCTGGCTTAAAATCTTTAACAGTGTCATCCAGCCCATTGTGCTGTATGGTAGTGAAGTATGGGGTCCACTCAGTCATCACAGTTATACCCGCTGGGACAAACATCCAACAGAGTCTCTACACACAGAATTCTGCAGACACATTTTACACGTACACAGAAACACACCAACAAATGCATGTAGAGCAGAACTACGCCGATACCCACTGATCATTAACATTCAAAAGAGAGCACTCACATTCTTCAATCACCTTAAATCCAGCCCCCCAGACACCCTCCACTCCAAAGCCCTCCAAAGCCAAGAGCTGAGCCCAGAGAAGAGTCCCCTATGTCAGCTGGTGCTGAGACTAACTGCCTCCTCTCAGACACACGGGGACCAGTCTCTCAACAACACTGCTCTCCAAACACCAACCAGAGTAAAACACATCATGGCGAGATGTAAAGAAGCACTGGAGCACTGGAGAGAGGAAACTGGGGGCCAAAGCAGACTAGAATGTTATCTGGCCCTAGAGAGAGACTATGAATTGGCAGGGTATCCCTCTACTGTCAGAGATATAAAACAGAGACAGAACCTCACCAAGTACAGGCTCAGTGACCACAAACTGGAGATTGAAACAGGACGACACAAAAAGTCATGGCAACCAAGAGAGAATAGAACATGTGGTCACTGTGGGACCGGTGAGGTTGAGACGGAGATGCACTTCCTCCTAAAATGCAAAACATTCCATAAAATTAGGAACATCTACCTAAACAAATTTGACTCTGTGATTTCAGATTTTAAAAAAAATCTAGTGATATCTCAAAATTAAAAGTCCTCCTAGGAGAAGGAGAGAGGGCAGACCTTGCTGCCCAGTATGTACTAACATGCCACAACCTGAGGGACAGTAGTTGACGCTTTGGCGATGCCGTTCCTGGGCGTTCATGCCAATGGAGCAGATCCGAGTTTGGGTTGAATTGGGAGAGAAACGGAGAGATCTATCTATCCATGGATCTCTCTCTCTCACTTCGCTCCTCCCTTTGCTTCGATGTCGGAGAGCTGCGGTGGCCTACAGGTAACTTGGGAGCAATGGGGGCTCTGTCTCAGACCACTTTTGAGATGTTGTATTAATATTATTGTTATATTAACATTGTTGTGTATTGATGTTATTGGATGTTACATTTTTTTGATGCTTTGGCAATACACTGACGAGCCACAGATGTGGCCAATCTGGCCAATCTTCTGGTGTACGTCCGTTACCTTTTCGAAGGCACGGTGCAGGAAGATTTTTTGTCTTTTTTATCTTGTAAACAAACGCCACGCGCGAGCAAACTGTTCTCTCATTGGTCCGATTTGTATGCGGCTATAAATAGGCTCTGTTGCTTTTTTTTTTTTTAAGGTGTGGGGGATTGGGGGTGCGTGAACCCGGTCGGGATGTAGAAGGGGGTGCGCGGCCTAACAAGTTTGGGAACCGCTGCTCTAAGTCATAAACAAGTCTATACAAGTAGTATAGAATATTGAATAAAGTCATAGTATAGCATGTCATAAAAACGTTATAGTATAGTACATCGTATTCATAGTAGTAAAATGCAAATTGGGTAATCTTTTCTTTCAATCAGAGCAGTGAAACGTGCCACCCAAACAAAAAATAATGAATAGAAAGATTTATTATTTGTCTTAATAACTATGATCCACCAAATAACTCAGTTCAAAACAGTTTTAAGGTCTTAAATCCATCAACTGACTAATTCCCAAACTCAGGTGCAGGTGAGATTTGGGTGTGGCTATAGTTACCATACAGTACACGGGATGCAATATATTAGCATTTGAATATGAATTTGCAAACAGACAGCTTAACAATGTTAAAAGGATAAATTGTGGAGTTACTTGCAACAGCTTAAACTTTTGTTGTGACTTGTTGCATGTATGATTTAAAATATCTGCAATCTGCAAAGCAATAGACAAAATGTTCTTTTGTAATATGCAGTGTTATTTCATGACTGCTAATGGGTCATAATGTGTGGAGTTTTGTGTAAACTGTGCCATGGAAAACATAGTGAACGTTGGACTAGCAAGTAGTGAATTCATAAAAGGAGACATTCTCTGCCCTTAAGAACAGAACAGAATAGAACAGAATGCTGGATGGAACATGTGTGTTCCATGACAAGTTAGAATGTTGACGTGTCATCTTATGTATAGAGCCAGATGGCTTGTGCCAACCTCAGTAACCTCAGTATCTTCAACAACTCAACACCCAGGTAGTAGCCCTGGCTTCTCTGAGCCAATGCTGACGGTGAGTGTTTGAACTGTGGAGCTGACACAGTCGCGCTCTTGAGTTCTGCATGGTGACAGGAGTCAGCATGTGGGGCAAGCCGCAGGCTGCCGTCAGCATTGTGTAAAGATGGTCGACCAGTCTTCAATGCTACCTGGGAGCAGGTAAGAAACCAAACTCATGTCGTGTAAACCAGTAGCATATCTGACCTGTAACTTTGGATTCAGAATAGACTTTGACTGCTACCACTTTTCGTAATTTGGCTCAGGATGTTCGGTGCCACCAGTGATTTTAGGATTACCAAATCCCTCCTTTAATATCAAGTTGTTAACATTGATTATTTACTGAGAGTAAAGTACAGTAAAACTTAGAGAGCTTTGCTTATAGGAGTGCTATTTTGAAATTGTACAATCATACAGTTGTAAAATAATTAACGATCTAAAATGTTGGGATTTACTCTAACCTCCTACATTAGGACAGTGTTGTTATGCTCTCATTCACTCACAACTCTCTCTAGCTCTCGCTCTCTGGCTCCTACTCCATCAGCTGACAGTGGGCGATTTCGCCACGGCTTCCCTCAGACAATCATATATTTCCCGTCAAAATTTAAAGATCTGTTGTCTTCTCTGCAGTCAGTTGTCATTTCAGAATCGATGTGACCCTCCTCCCCATTAAGTCCTGCATGCGTGTGGGGCAAGCCACAGGCTGCCGTCAGCGTTGTGCAAAGATGGTCGACCAGTCTTCAATGCTACCTGGGGGCAGGAAGCCTGCGTGCCGGTCTGCCTCAGAGCTCACTTCAAGCTTCCGGTGCGTCCGATGTAGGATGCTGTGGTAAGATACTCACACCAAACTGCTGTAAAATAATTAACTAACTATGTAAAATGTTGGGATTTACTCTAACTTCCTACATTAGGACAGTCTTTGTTTGCTCTCATTCACTCACTCTCTCTGGCTCTCACCAATAAAAAAAAAGTCAGAGTTTAGCATATCAATCAAAGTAATAAATAAGACATAGTATAGAATGTCAAAAAAGTAATAGTACAGTATGCCCAAAATAGTCATAAAAAAGTCGTAGTATAGTATGTCGAAAAAAGTGATAAACGGTCATAGTATAGTATGTCATGTTATCATTATTACTGACTTTGCTTCTTCACCGGAGTCTCTGTGCTTTCTCACCTCGCAGGTTTCCGTGGATCCTGGTGATACCTGGACCCTGGTCTGGCCTCCTGCCGTGGTTCTGTCATATGCATTGAATGTGTTGTAACTCCGTTATGTTGTTCATTCTGTACACATGACATCTATTGCACTTCTGTCCATCCTGGGAGAGGGATCCCTCCTCTGTTGCTCTCCCACAGGTCTCTCCCTCTTTTCTCCCCGTTAAAGGGTGTTTTTTGGGGGAGTTTTTCCTGTTTCGATGTGAGGGTTCTGGGACAGAGGATGTCGTATGTGTACTGATTGTAAAGCCCTCTGAGGCTAATTTGTAATTTGTGATTTTGGGCTGTACAAAAATAAATTGAATTGAATTGAATATGTCGAAAAAACTGTGTTGAAAACGTCATTAAAAAAAGTGATAGTATAGTATGGCAAAAACGGTCATAGTATATAGTATGATGAAAAAAATCATAATATAGAATGTCGGGAAAAGTCATAAAAAAGTCAGTATAATATCTCAAAAAAAGTAATTGGATAGTATGTCGAAAAAAGTCATAAAGAATCATAGTATGTTGAAAAAAGTAACAAAAAAAGTCATGGCATACTATAGCATCAATTTATCAAACTTATCACATTCTAGCAAGACGTTTAAGATGTACAACATCACGTATTTCTAGCCATTTTTCTGTCTTCTCTTGAGATGTTTTATTTACTTTTACTATATCTCCTATTCTGCCTCTGATAAGCCTTGCTTAAAGGGCACCAATATTACACAGAAATGTCCATTTACTTCACAAGGAATCATACTCTGCCTATGAAAACCGCTGATGTCTTTTGTATCTCCGGGTTAGGGTTAAAGATTGAGACTTCTGACATTTGACAAAAGATCAGCGTCAAAAACTGCCGGCCGTCAAGTTGAAAGACGATGGCATTTAACAGGCAGGTAGAACCTAATCAGAATGCTGTTGAAATGCATTGTGGGAATGGTGATATCCAATGTTTTTGACTCATTCTGGGGATTAAAAGTCAGGATATCTCAGCCTCTGCTGCTTTGATTCTTACCGTTCTCTCTTAAAAGTCACCCAACATTATGAAAGTACAGTAACTCTTTAACGTGCAAGACACAGCTTTTTCTCATGGCTAAGTAATTATGCCTCTTCTGGATTGGAAAAATCACATAACCCCCCCCTTAAGAAATAGGGAATATTCAAGCGAGCTGCCCTTCAATCATCCGTGAATGTCTATGAGATGCCTTTTCTATTTGTTGATCACACAATGACCTCACCGTCCTCATCCACCTCCTCAATGATGGCATCCAACTCCTCCCTCGACGGGTTCTGGCCCAGCATCCTCATCACCTGGCCCAACTCCTTGGTGCTGATGTCACCGCCACCGTCGGTGTCGAACATGTCGAAGGCGGCCTTGAACTCTGGACGAGAGAAGGAAATAGATAAAAATTCGTAAAACTCTAAACTGGCAAAACTTAGGTAGGCAGGTTGTAAAAATCAATCGATGGAATTACCAAGAAAAACTTCCATGAACCCCTTTTTTATAGCTGCTCATTCATTGATCTGCCGCTCCTCTTGGAACCAGCTTTAGTATAGGGGAAGACATCAAGTGTAATCCACCAATTAATTGAAGTAATTAGTAAATAATGAAGGACTGACCTGCAATCATCTCCTCGGTCAGGAAGGAGCGGGCATCACTTTGGGCGTCAGTGGGCTTCAGAGAGACGAATGGAAAAAGGTGGGAGATTAACAGGAGAGGTGATTAGAAAGGGAGACGTTATTAGTTGTATTCACCAGCAGCTGCATAATGACATGTCATTAATAAAATGTGATTGTGGCAGAGTCAAAGAGGATAACAGCGTCTTCATCAGGACTCAGCCACTCACACAATCACCCACATTTGGATTCTGCTGCTTCAGGTGCTATCATAGACAAAGTGACAGCCAAGGACTGGAAATCGCCTCATGTCAGGTAAGAACTCATGTTTAATCCTCTGGATCTGAGACGTAACATAATGATATTTCTCTGTCGTGTGAAAGTACAATGTTTTCCTCTGAAGTAGAAGTACACAGTAAGTAGCAGGCTATACAAGTGCTTTCTGGGCATTTGGATTAGTTATTTGGGGACACAATGAGTTAGAATAGTAACATGATTCAATGTAATTTATTTCTAAACATCATAATATGTCTATAGCTGTTCAGGGCTCTTTTAGTTTGCCTAACGATAAAGTCTGACTCTGGTGTTTTTCCCTGACACAGAGTGTATTTCACCGATGTTTCGACGCAACTATGTCACGGCAGGTGTATCGCCGAGGACCCAGGAAGTGGACGTAGTGTAATAAGCAACAACATCTGCATAGGGAGGAGGTCAGGCTGGATGGGAGGGTCGAAAAACACCGTACTTTCACCCATGAGACCGCTGTCCGAGTTCCGAAAAGTCAACGTAGACTTATTTGTCACATAACTTCAATACTTTAGTAACCGCCACTTCTGAAGTCATTTTAACCACAATCTTTTCCTAAACCTAACCAAGTACTTTTCTTGCCTAAACAGGTTATGCACTGCAGGGAATTGTGCAGGTGCACTGATCGCTCATGTTGCTGGACATTTCATAAGAAAACACAAAAAACTAACATAACCTTTTGTGAGAAATCATATGATCTGTTGTAGGAAGATATGTTGCTGAATTAAATTGAGTTGTATTCCCCAGTAAATGCTGTATCCTGGTCCACGGTAGTCCAGGAGGACAGTCAATTATTTCCCCTCTCTCCCAGTTTGCTCGACAGAACCTCATCAATAACCGCAATATATAGAAGGCCACACAAGCCCACCCATTAGTTCACTGTAAAACTATTTGGGAGAGGATTAGAGAGGGATTTTCTCAAGGTGAATGTCCTAAATTAGGACACTCGGAGAAGGCAGCAGGTCTTCTCACTTTACTCAGCTGCGCGCTTCCTATCTTTAGTAACGCAGATCTAAATATCAAACAAAATCACATCAGTCTTTAAACAAACAGCGAAGAGGACGTAAAAGAAGAAACAGCACTTGTAAAGAAATCCATCTGATAACCCAGCTGTGCTGCACATGAGGACTTGCTGGGTGACCGTGTGGTTCGAAGAATATCCATCTTCTGCCATCTGGTTTTTATCCTCATCGGCTGACAACAAAAGCAAATCCTCAAAATTAAATTTCCGTCTTGTTTACCTCCTTCTTAGTTTTCGGTTTCTTACCATGGCAGCTGGCTGTGCTGAACAGACAACAGTAAGAAACGGCAGACGTCGGGGAAGGTTTTCCTGCAACACAGTTCAGGCGGCTTTACTCCCCCCATAAGTACCCTCTCATCCCGCTACACTTTTCCTGAAAATGATCAGGATTGGGCAAGGGGCCCCCCTCCTCAGACAAGAGACAGCCAATCAAATCCGACTTTAGTTTGTGCCCTCGTACAATCTCTTGACGGACATCCCCTTGTGTGGCACTCTCCCCAATCCCCCATATTTAGATAACAGACAAGCTTAGTGAGATTTATTTTAAAAAAAAGAAAAGAAAACACAGTGCAGGCAGCTGGAGGCTATTTTGGCAGAGGATCAACTGAGCATCTCTGTGCAGACGGGCACTTGATTTCACATGCTGGATCAGGAGTGCACGCTCACACACACAACACTAGCACTAACACACACACACACACACACACACACACACACACAACCACCTACCAGCATGCATAGATTCTCTGTCCCTTTCACAGTGTCCGTTAACACATCTATCTGCCCGTCTCCCTGTCTTCACTGCTGCGGACTTGCCCTTGCACTTATGACATCTGTAACTTAAGAGGCGGTCAAATGTACTTATGATCCCACACAACTGTCCCCTATTTTACCTATTGGTTTATCTCCCCGTCAACAAGTAAACAAACAATACCCTCTAGACCAGGGGTTCCCAAACCTTTTCATGCGACAGCCCCCGAATCAGCATTATGGCCGGGGGGGGGGGGGGGGGGGCCTTTTCCAAGAAGTATTTAAAAACCCATTGACGATACTTCGACAAATGTTAAAAATAATGAATAAATAACACATCAATCATTCCATTAGATTCAATATTTCTGTTTTCCATTAAAAGCATTGTTTGTCAGTTCAGTTGAACAACATGCATTGTGTGCGTGTGTGTCTATCTTGTCAGGTGAGTTAGCATTAGCTAGCTCGCTAGATGCACGCAACTAACTTTTAGCTTAATTTCAGTAGCAGAGCAGCTGCTGTGATGAATGTTTGACTGAAAGATGGTTATGGCAAATAAGAGTCCGATGTCATATATTGTTATAAATTATATTTTATAATCATAATAATTATTATTGTTGTTCTATTTTTTAAATAAATACACACACACACACACACATACATATATACACACATACATATATACACACACACACACACACACACACACACACACACACACACACACACACGCACACACGCACACACGCACACACGCACACACGCACACACGCACACACACACAAATTGAAACACAACAGAACCACAACAAAACTACTTGGTTATGTTCAGGCAACAAAACCACTTAGTTTGGGTAAATTGGCTTAAATTAAGTATGTTTGTTATGTTATTTCAGTTGAGGATGTAAATTAAAATAAGTCAAATTTTGGTTTGCCGGCACGGTGGCGCAGTGGCTGCGTCAGGATGGAGAGCTGAAGGATTACTTATAGGTTATTACTATTCTTCTTGAGGAGCGTGAATGTCTGAGCCAAATTTCAATCCATGGAGTAGTGGGTGAGATACTTTACTTAGAACCAAAGTGGGGAACTAACAGACATCCCTTGCGTGGGTTACAAAACGAACACTATAAATAGAACCAAGAATGAGGAGTTTTATTCGTGTGTTAGATGCACTCTAATATCAAATGTACACTCGCAAGGATTCCTTTTCCACTTTAGACAACCAGGTCAGCTGACAGACGTGCCAATCCGAGAGTCTCTGCTGTTCTTGGTCGACAGTGGAATTTTAAGCAGTAAGGCTCTCAGTTTCTCAATTCTTTCACTGGAAATCTATTTATGCTCGGCGAACTGTCTCATTGGCATGGAAACAGCAGCTGTGGTATAGCTGTCATGCAGAATATGTGCGTAATATGGGGCAAAGTAGTGTGTTGTATAAGGCATTAAATGCATTATGTATTTTATTTATAACAAATACTGTGGAGCAATTATTTGAGCCGGCATGACTAAACTGGTCTCTAACATTTCAGTCTGCTATAACAGAAAAACCCAAACCAGTTAACCAGTCATTAAGATGTTACAAATGAAAGCAGCAGTGGGGTTAACCTGCTCTCAGCATTTAGATTCTACCAGCACTCATGCTCTCCTGTTCACTTCCTTTCCCCTCCTCTTTTCTCCCTTGTCCCATTATATCCATCACACTCCGCACCTTTTATTCCCGCCCCTCTACACAACACTCCTTTTTTTTTTTTTAAACACCCTTCCACTATTCTCCACGTTTTAATCCTCACCATCTCCTCTTTCCATCTTAGCCTCCTCTCACCCCTCTCTGTCATCACCCCTGCCTTCCCCCTTAGGGTCACAGTGCAAGTTCAGCTTCCATTCCGTCCAACTTATGTCACCGCCTTCATTGACTGACAGCACCAGCTGATGCTCTGCCCGGCTCAAGGCTTTTCTCTGGTTAGGTTAGAGAAAAACGTTTTGAAGTGTGAGGTGACTTTGGTTTGCAGAGAGGGAAATCTCTTGTCCTTTTATTCTTTGTTCTCTTTCTTTGTTCTCCTCTTTCCACCTTCTTCTCCTCTATACCTCCTTCTATTCCTGGACATTCTCCGGGGGAGCAGCTGAACCATGCAGACAAACACACCCTATATAAGGCTGGGGGTATGCCGTCGCTCCTCCCCCTCGGGCCCTCTATCCTTTATCCTGATCCCTCCTTCGCTTCTCGTGCCTCTCGCTGCCCTTCTGTCCCGTCACTCACACTCACCCTTCCAGCTCCTCTATGCCAACAACCAAGTCATTCTAAGTCAAACCATGTTAAATGTTGAAGAAGGTGGTTCTGGGTGTCTTTTAAAAGCGTACAATCTCCAGCAGTATTCATTATTCAAATTGCAAAACAATTATTTGCAAATATGGATACAGAAAAATATTGTTGTGGTGTGTCCTCTTTAAATACCCTGTGGTTGTACACTGTAAAAAAAATCCATGTGGTTCAACTTAAAAACGTAAGTACAATTGCTGCCTTAAACTTTCAAGTCAAGTCAAATTGGATTTACAATTTGTTTCAACTCATCACTTTGAGTTTACTTTAGCTTTGGATTGCCCTTTGTAAGTTCACATGAATGTATAGTACGAGTTTATTCAACTTAGCAATGCAAGTTAAAAAGATAAGATTATTTTGAACGCAGGACTTACACTTGTAACAGAGTATTTCTTCCACCACTGTCAACAAGGCTAATTCATGTCACTAAAATTGTTCTTCGGATGTTCGCAAACTCCTTTCTAGTCATCTATGAACAGCCTGTGCTCAAATTGAGGGTGACTTTCCTGCTCTAGTAGAGAGGCAACAAACTTCTTACTGTCATTATACAACCTATAGGACATGTTATTCCATCTTCACATGACTACACAACGATGTCGACTTTGCCGTTGAGGTCATTTTAAAAAAAAGAAAAGAAAATTCCTCAATGCATCAGAGGGCCTACATAATATCTGACAACACAATTATGTTAAAATCTATACACGTAACCACAGTTTTGCATTAAGGAAATACATAATGTCTTACGTCACACATCCTGATGACGTCTGATGGATCTTCGGCTATGTAATGTGGCAGGCCAAGCAAAGCAGCAGTCCTCATTTCATTTGTGTCCTACAAGACCGAGAAATATGCAGTGAGATGACAATGTTGTAGCACACATAGCATCAATTTACAAATAATCAGCAACCCCTTACATCTTTCTCAAGACAGTTCAAAATGTCTTTGAGTGCCTGCTTCTTTCCAGACATGGTTGCAGCTTTGTAGACCTCCAGCAGTCTTGGGACCAAGCCATCAAGTCCGTCAAGAAAACACTCGAGAAGGTCTGTGGTGACGACTCTCTTGAATTCTGCCCTTATCTGAGGAGACGCAAACAGATAGTAAACACTAGTCAAACAACATTTCTGAATAGGACACGCAGTTTACACAGTATGACAAGCAGTGCGACTGCCTACCTGTCTCTCAAGGAACAGAGCTGGCCATCTGGAAAGGACCTCTGCGACGAGTGGCTGATCTCCAATAATCTCTTTTCGGCGCTGGGAACGTAGCTGTCATCAGGTGTTCCACCAGCTGGTGATCAGGGTCTTTAAGCATTTCCACCTCCAACATCTTTCGCTTTGCCTCCATGTTTTCAGAACTCTGTCCTTCTGGTGGATCTGGACAGTAGTTGACCTCACCATTCTTTGACTTCTTAACACATTTCCCCTTTGCAAATGTCCTTTTAAATGAAGAAAATATTGTTTTATCTTGCTTGGTGCTGAAAAATTACAAAGTTCACAGCGAATTTTAGCAACTGGACTGCTTACTTTCTTGTGCTCCTTTATATGCTGCGTAAATTCCACATGGGATTAGAGATATGTTAGACAGTTTGGGTATATACAGCTGAAACCCCGTCTTCCACGTCCATGATTGTCTTTGTAATGACTCACAATTGTTTTTTCATTGTATGAGGCAAAACTGCAGAACCTACAACTCCACTTCATCAACAGCAACCAAACTCAATGAATGAACCATCGGCACCTGAAACACAGAAAATCAATCAATATAACATGATATAGCAAAACCTTTAGTCATATGAACTGCAAACTTCATTAAGAGAGTAAAATGCACACAATAATCAGAGAACAATGAGCTTCTAATCAATTTATGATCTTTTTTTAAATTTATTTAACCTTTATTTAACCAGGTAAAATCAATTGAGAACCAATTCTCATTTTCAATGATGACCTGGCCAAGAGGCAGTAGCACAGTCCACACAAGTTACACAAACAACACAGATACAATACAGTATGACAAACAATGGAAAAATGACTAAAAACAACCTAGATAAAATAATAAACACTATGTACAAAATAAAAGGCAGATTACTGGATGTTATTTGTAAAAAAATGGAAGAAAGAAAGAGAAGTGAGGGCTGGTCAGCAAGTACAGCAGTCAACTATAACTTGTTGCAGCTTATGTTTGAACATGTTGAGAGAGGTGAGAGCTGTTAGTTTGAGTGGCTTACGATCCGAGGTAGTTTCCATAACCTATGGTGAGTTTTTTAAATTAACAAAATCATAAGAAACTGAGGGAATTCATGAGCAGGAATGACATTAAAATAACTTGACCTGTGTTGGAAAGTCCCGTGGTGGGGGAGATTTAAAAAAAAGCTTGAGTGGCGCGAACACAGATAGCTCGCTAAAGTACGCTACTAGCTAACTAGCTAGCGAGCTAATTATCTTCACAACCATGTAGGTTAAGCCACACCATGTGCGCTGAGTTACTTAGCTAGTTCCCGTTTTCGAGTGGCCGTGTTTAGCCAAAAGCAGTTTAAGAAGCCAGCCAGCAGAAATTTAAACAGATTAAAATATTCAATTTAATTAGGTTTCAAATGTACTAACTTAGCTACTGACATTTTAGCCAGACAACAAATAGTCCATAAGCTTACCGCAGCCAACTGTCTGGAGACCGCCATGTTGCTAAACGTCGGCTAAGTTACATTGAGAAGCTGCCCAAAAACATTAGCTTATTTAAATTACTTTTTTCTAAATGCCCTCTGAAACATTCTTGATAGGACTTCGTACACTATTGTTCATTAACCTTATATCGTGTTCAGGTCCAATTAGACCGGTTATGAGGATTTACACGGCTCAAATATGACCATTAAAAACGAACTTTAACGCTAGACTGTTTGCCATATTGGACCAACTGCATTACACTTTAAGCGTTATGCATTTACAGACAATATAATAACATGACAGCAGATACTTTCTATACATTTACGAATTGGGTTGACTGATATTGCTGACGCATCCACTCACCTCACTTCGCCTTTGTCCTTCCGAGCCGTCGCGCCGCTTGTCAATGGTCGGTTGGTTGACGTTCATCGTCTCGCTGGCTAACCATATTCATCCGCCGCTTGGTTCGCTGAACCGACGTACTGCGTGGTCAGGTTCAGGTCACGTTCGTGATCCGGCTGCCAAAACGTATTGGTCCGCCACGTGGCTTAGGTTAGTTCGCCGTCTGGTATTTACATAGGTTGGTGACGCAGCTGAGCAGACAGACAGCTTGCGACCTGCTGCGGCACCCACCTGTCACTCAAAGCGGCCACGCTCTCGATTATGCATAACTTTCAGCCTCAATATAATTGAAATGTATTAGCTATATACAAGTCACCTCTGTACAGTTCATGAAGGGGCAAATTAACTGAAGAGACCAAGAAGATACGTTTTTTTTGTAGCAAGCTGTATGCATTTGTATTTCTGCTTAGAAGTTAGACAATTTAACATGGGGGTCCTATGGAAATTGAATCGCTTTTAAAGCCTCGAGTGGCCGTTTGAGGAACTGCAGTTATTGGCACTTGTTTTAGACTGTTAGACATAGCCATACTTATAACTCACAGTATTCAGTTCATTTAACTTCTTGAAATTTACATTTCATTGAACTGGCTTAAATACCTGAGTTGGAGTACCGAAAACTTATACAATTGAGTTCAAATTGTATAAATCATCATGATAAGTTGAAGTAAATGACAGAAAGAAGTTAACATGACTTATTGTTCAAATCCTTTTTTACAGTGTACCCAGTACAACCTGAAAAGCAGTGGGGGGTCTTTTCACACCCTTAACCCATGTACGACTGACTTGTGATAGATCGCCTGTGCATTAGGTGCAAAGTTGTGCAGTGACACACAAGTGTGTGTGTGTGTGTGTGTTTCCAGTTCGACTGTGTATTGGGTTAGAGAGAGTGAGGCGATTGTGCTGTGTGGACGCTATGACAGGGACTTCTTGGTGCACTCAGACGTACCTCGTGAACTCTGAGAAACTCATCTTTTGTTGTAAACCTTACAGACCGCCAGGGGATCTTCTTTTTGTTGTTGTTATTACTCATTAAATTAAATTATTGTAATTTGACCATATGGACTTAGTGTGGTACATCCCAACCAAAAGATATCCATCATGGTACCATGTAGCATCCCGTTTTAAAGGAATCAAAAATCAAATTGAATCGTGACCTTAAAATCAAAAGTCACATCCAAATGTGGATTTGGAAAATCGCGACAACCTTATCAGTATCAGACCGCGAGGGGCATTGACCAGCCGAGTTTGGAGTGAGACCGGGTTGCTGACTGGAGGGTTGAGCACTGCTCCCCACAAAGGTTGGAGCCCTATTTGGGGATCGCCCTCCGCAGTTTGGCCTTGTTGGTCTGTGAGAGCCCCCCATACCAAGCCAGAAACGAGAAGGCCAAGAGGCTCGCTATAGATGTGAAAGCTGTGTAGGATGGAAGGGGCTACATTCAGGTTCTGTGTTTCGTTGAAAGTCAGCAACACTGTTGATGGTGTTCCAGAGGTATACTTGTAGCTGCTTAGCCTCTTTATGTCATCTGTGTGACAGGCACAACGGTTTAAATTGGGTTTTGTTTTTAGACTTGTTGTGGTATTGTTTAAAACATGACTATGCATCAGTGTGGATCAGGCCTAATTCCTGCTGTCTTGGGGGCAGAGAAGAAGCGCTAACCTCTGCACTGCATTTACTAGTCTTCAACACCGGGGGTCAGTCTGACCCTTCACTTACTCAGAAGATGCTTCTCGTCGTTTCCTCGCTCCTCGCATGGTTTCCTCCATGCATCCCCGGGAGGGACTAAGACGCAAGGAAAGGACCCAAGTGAGGGAAACGGGGATGCAATTAAGAGACTTGAGAAGTACCCCAGGGCCCTGTTTCACAAAGCAGGTTCAGTGACAGCTCTGAGTTAGATAACCCTGAGTTGAGGGAAACAGAAGGAGCTGTAACTTAAACTCTGGGTCAATTGCCATGGTAACTGACTCTGTGAACCTAACCTGCTGGCAGGTTTTCTTTAAGAAAAGCTGCCACTCTACAGAGCCAGAGACACTGTTTTATTTCCTCATTCATTCAGTCTGTATTGAAGGTTTACTGTATGTCAGAATCCAAATCAAGGTTAGATAATAATATGTTACTCATTTCTTTGAACAGCTTTTCACACTCGGAAAAATAATAAATATGTCCTCCTTCCTTATTTTATTATAATTTGTAACGCTGTGCCTTTGTGCATGCAGTAGATGTCAACTGTAACCGATGGAATATAACTCCTATAATGTTGGAGATTTATATTTCTGAGGGAGCAGGATCGTGGAGCAGCTGCAGAATGTAGTTTGAAAGGGATTTTTAAAAACATATTCTGAAGGTGTTTCAACATAATTTCAGTGACTGTGTTTTGATTTGCCACATTTGTTAAAGTAGCTGAAATAAAGCCACCGAATGATGTTGAGCCAAGATCCAAATAGATCCATCTATTCTAATTAAGATCATAGTCATGTGTCTGTCTTTGATCTGTATGTTTTTATATCTTCAATTGTATTTTTCATTTTCAGTTGGCCTCTGTGTTTTGTCCTCCTCAGATTAAAGATACAAATACATGTTGGGTCTATATGAAATGGAAAGTTTAAGCACAGAAGGTAATCACGACAACCATACTGTACGAGTATGTCCCAAATTCCAGAATAACTGTCTTAGTATACTGTTTTTACTGTTATATACATTAAAAAAAATCGACATACTCAATAGGTGTCCTGGTGCAATTGGGATTTGTCACTGCCCGTTAAATTATTAGATTTAATACCAAAAAAAGCCAGTTTCCAGTTTCCAGTGTTCATTAACGACATAACTATGAAGGCAAATAAATGGCAAAATCCGGTGTTTAAAAAGGGTCCTGCACGTGCAACTCAAACAGCCGCACTTAAATGTCAGTGATTACAATTCTCGTCTTTGGATTGGTCGAATATCACTCTGACAGGAAATGTGTAATATTGTTTGAGAAATATAATGATTTTTTTAAATGTGCTCTTTCTTGCATGGACACAGAACACGTTCCTCTTGGTATCTAATGAACTAATCCATCACATGGAGAATGTGATTCATCAGCAATCATACAGGTGCGTAAGAGCGCGTTGAGACGCTCCATGGTTCCACATCTGCAGCGCACTCTATTAAACACCTATGGCAATTTAGATGATGCACATACAGGTAACGGAGAAGTGTGGACTTTTTGTACGTAGAGATTACTGTATATAAAGGGGTCGAGGAAGAGGATGATTTGAACAACACATGTCATTCAGCTCAAAATGCAAACAGCACTTATGTTGACAGCCGTGGGGGCGCACAACCTCACTGGACAGTGCGACTGGTTCAGCGAGGAGAACCTAACCGAGCCGCGCGTAACCGAGCGGCTGGACCCAGCCGGCTGCCTCTTTCTATCCATACTGCCCCATGGCCAGGCAGTTCCGGCGCTGGTGTGGATTTTCGTGTTGCTGACTCTCTTCTCGTTTCTGGTTAACGGACTCACCCTGTTTGGACTCGGGCGGTCAGAGGACCTCTCCTGGGAGCCGTGCGTTGCTTTTTAAGAACCTGATTCTGAGCGACCTCTTGCAGACCGTCACTTTCGGCCCGGCGGTCATCCACTCACTCGTCCAACGCCGGACGATGGCGTTCAGCGCCTGGTGTAACGTCCAGTACTTTGTGGGGACCGTCAGCATCTTCTCCAGCCTTCTCACCATCACGAGCATGGCACTGGAGCGCTACGTGTACGTGTGCCACGCCATCCACTACTTGGTCATCCTCACTCAAATGCGCCGGCGGCTGGCCTTGGCCCTCATCTGGATCTACTCCATCTCCCTCGGCACCATCAACGTGATGTTGTTGCACATGAGAGGGCAAAATAATGAGCAGGTCACCCGTGGGCTACTGTGCGAGCCGGACATGGTGGAGCAACACATGGGCTTCCCCCGTGCCTCTGCCGTCTTTCGCAAATGTGTGGGCTCCATCACGCTGCTGGTCTGCCTGCTGGTCTACGCGTTCTCCTACCTGAGGATGTACCAGGACGCGCGCAACGCGAGGATGCCGTTCAACACGGTCAACACCAAAGCGCGCAGGACCGTGTTGTTCTACTGCGGGATGCTTCTCCTGCAGCTGCTACCGCTGCTGCTCAAAGTCGCCTCGGACGCGCTGTGGAAGGTGGAGGGCACCGCGGCCAAGGTGGCGCTGCCGGAACCTATCCCCTCGGACACGGCGGTCGTGCTCCACATGTCGTTGTTGGTAATGCTTTTAGTGCCACCGCTCATCAACCCGGTGGTCTACAGGCTGAGAAACGCGGAGATGAGGCGGGCGATGCACAGCCTGTTCCGGTGGAGGATGGCGTGGAGGGGCGCGGATGCGCGCTTGGAGGCGGAGATGAGACTTGGATACATTGTGCCTCACAACTGAGCTCAGGTGGTGTAGACTGAGCTCAGTGACCATTATGATGTTTATGTTGATGCAAGCAGGCTGGAACGGACCCATTGTGACTCAGACGCTACCCAGCGAGCATTTTTCCGTTGAAAAGACGTTAAATAAACTAATTCAGTCACCGATGAAAAGATGTTTAAAAGTGGTTCAAAAGTGAAAGTTGTTTCACCGACTATTTGAGGATTAAACGTTCACATTTAGAACATATTTCACCGGATTTACAGCAGAGGATTCTTTCATCCTCAACTTTGTGCAAATCATAAAGTATATCGTTATTTTATATCAGGGGTAGTCAATTAACATTCAACAGGTCCAGTTAGAGATAATTTCCTCAAGCAAAGGTCGAGAACATCACAGTAATGTTTATGATTTAGTGCCATACATATTGAAGTAGCCCAATAGTTGTATCAATAAATGTGTCAACAACTGACTGTCAAATCAAATAAAGAAAGTTATATTGAATAATATCTCAACAATATTTATTGTCAGATTTCAAATGTAACTGGATGAATACTGACATAATCTAATCATAAATACATGTTCTTCTCTCGTTTCAAGTAAAATAAGGATTAAAGAATAAATTACATAACAGAAAGCTTTTGAAAATGTTTATCTTAAAATAAAGTACTTAATTAAGAAAAGGGACTTTAACTGAATTGTCTTTGCCTTGCTGCTTCAAATTCAGTTTATTCAAGTAATTGTCAACCAACAAATCCACGATATTATATTCTTCTCATCTTCTAATAAGAGAAATTTATGTGTAGGGACTTATTTATAGCAGCATTTATAGGTAGGTAAAGCGCTAAAATATAAGCGCTCCGTCAAAATGTAATGATTCTGGTTTTAGGTTTTAGGTCCAGGGTCCGGATACAACATCGTCCGGGTCCGGACTAGGACCGCGGTCCGCCTATAACGCTGTGACCCCTGTTTTAGACACTTAATAAGAAACCATATCCACATTTCTCATTTGAAAGCCAATATTGCAAATGTTCCCACCGTTCATGCTGTGTTGAGGAATTTCATGTACACATTTAAATGTCTCTTGATTGAATCGAAAAATGTAATCAAAATGGCCTTAACTGCAGCCGAAACAAAGTGACACAAGGTAAAACAAACGTCTCTATGTATTTTAACCACTGTTGACTTTTCAACTGCAATGATACCTGTGTCTTGGTGTCCTCATATAGTATTTATTTGTTGTTGTTGTTGTTTTATATGGTCCATGTGTTTGAAATAAAGTTGAATATATCTGTTGGCTAAATATATTATCTCTTTACTAGCACCACTAATGCTCCCTTATTAACATGTTATATCTCATTTCGATTGATCAACCTCCACAGTCCTCCCAAAGTTATTTTGACGTAATCAATTACATAATTGCAGGGGATTGGTTGGAGACAACATTCACGTAGAAGCCAAGTTTTCTTTGTTTTTGTTTCTTAACAGGTTGAGAGAGAAAAATGAATGGCAATACAAAGTAGGTGGGAATACAGATGATGCTTTCTAGGGTGTTCATTCATTTCTTTGTGATGGTAATCTTTGTGTCTCCTCAAAACCTTTTTTTCCCCACAGTCAATGCTGCCGTTAATTCTGAAATGCCAGTCTCACAACATATACTGTGATGAAAAGGGTTGCCTTAGTGTCTGAACAGGCAATTTAAACATTTAAATCCTGGTCAGCCAGCATACATCGCACAAATAAGCTATGTGAGTTACAGGCAGCACTTGATTTAAGCTATATATTTGAGATATATTCCACGGTACAACGCCTCAATGATTCAAACACAACCCAGTTCATGCTCGGCTATCTCGATATACCATTACACTAGAGTTCAGGTGTACAGAAACACAGGATTGAAGGTCCTGTGCCTGTCTTTGGATGATATTGCAGCTGAAGAATTCAAACGAGAACTGCAATACTTCCTCTTCTAAGTTATACTTCTTTATGATATATGATACGGCACAAACCCTCCAGCAACACTTCCCTTTGATTACACTTGTACAAAAAAGGAAAAGATTATTGTGAATGTAGTATTGGCCTATTGCAAATGATCCTGAATGATTCTCGCCAGTGTTTAATGACTTCACTTGTTTTCTCCACAGTATCCACTCATAGAACTAAAGCATGATTCAACTTCCTTATGGCTACGTTTGAGCACTTACAGCATAGAATGCTGCAGGAATAAGTCAGCATTATTGCACTTCTAGTCCGCCCATATTCTCACCCATGTGACTGCGGTGTTCTTTGTTTATAGCCTTATGTCAGCTTTTTACTTCCATTGTGTTCAACAATCATAAAAGTGGTGTTCCTTTGTGAAAAATTAAATGGAAAAATCCCATCGGCTTTTTATCGAAGGAGCCAGTGCGACGCTAACTTCTGGGGTCGGCCGACAAAAAAACCGTCATCGCTGCAGCACTCTATTTGGTTAATATTAGGAGAGAGTCATGTTCTTGGTTAAAAATGTCAAAAGTCATCAATACTTGACCCCCAAGACACAATGTTTTTATTTTATCAACATTTAACCAATACCATGATCTTTTCCCAAACCTTAACCAAAGTGCGTTTGTTACCTAAACCCAACCACAGATGGGACTCCCATGCTTTGTATGCCTACATCCACTTTGACCACCTCCCTACGACTTCTGCGCAGTACAAGAACATAGCACTTCATTCCCTGGGGGAAAAACATTCCCACCAAAATTCTGGCAACAACTGACTTGTTAAATATATTAATAGTATAAAATTGTAATTTTCAGGAGACAGGGATGCCTGTGCCATAAACCACTTAAAGAGGGTAATGGGGTGACGTTGGAAAGAGGGCTGACCATGATGTAGACAAATTCTTTTGTTTGCACAACTACTCTGAGTGTGGATAAGACAAGGTGCCCGCTGTATCCCTTCCTTTTCACTTGTGCCTGGGATCCATTGGCCAGAGGCCACTAGTAGTAATGTATTGCTTACCAATGAATTATGCTGGAAACAATGATCTTTTTCATTTAAAATGGAAACACCATTGCACCATTGAGATTTCGGCAGCCTTTTATTCTTCTATACAGAATCCATTTGTTGGTTTTCTGGTTGTACTAACAGAGGCGGGTTGTAAATCCTGGGTAAACCACTCAATCTAATTCAGTTTGAATAGCTTTTGTTTGTCAGTTTTAATCTGCTGTTTTTGCCCTTTGGTATAGATTATTGCTTAACATGCCTCTTTGTTAACAGCAAGTTATTTTTCAATCCCTGTCACAGGAAAGTGCTGTACTGATTATTGTTAATAGTGTACTTTAAGTGCAGAGACCTCACAGCAGGTAATATTAAAGTGACTGGTTGTCATAAGCACCGCTTGAAAATCACCTCTAATACATGGTGGCAACTGTGTCTAAAGACCTAGTAATATTCCAACTGTGAATTGAAAGTGCATCCATTATCCATTCTAAAGGGCCTTCTCAGGATAGCAAGTTAAACCACCCAAACAGGTTTGGTGCATTCCTGCAAGACATGTCCCTTTTGACCTGTTCGACTGCATTTCTGAGTACATAACAAATGTTGACTGGTAAACCAAGAGAAACATTTTACATTGTTTATTGCATTTGTTTTAAAGTGGAACACCTTAAAAAAAGTACCCAGGCCTGTGAAAATGTGAGAAAGGGTAACTACAATTTGTTATCTAAGTGCAAAAAGGGAACAAGGAAGTCAACCGATACAATGTCCGTAAGTGTTTTGTTGGTATTCATCTCTACGTGTTTGAGAACTGTGGTGTAAAAGAATGAGGAAGTCACCAAAAAAAAAAAGGGAACACACAGTCTCACAGTCAAACAGGTGACAGACTCACACGGACTCCACCTGAGGATCTTAAGAAAGCAGCACCTGTATTTCCTTTGTTAGCGTGTTGCATCTGCAACGCTCTATCAACAACCCATTAACCACACTGCAGAGATGGATCCGATAATCAGTCAAATTCAGAGTTCTTAAAAAAAGGTATTTAAGTTTGTGATTTTCTCTCCTAAGTATCGATGGATCTCTCATTGCTCCTGAACCTGTCTGTCAGTCCACATGCTGTGGACTCTTTATTTGGGAGGCCAACTCAGGGCGGCTCTGAGAACAACCTGAAATTCATCTGTGAGTTCAAGCACGGGCTCGGTCCACCGCAGGCGTCTGGCGATGATGATTACGATGTCAATATGGCGTGCGGGTCAGTGTCGGTCATCCTCCCTGCCCAGTGCAGTGTCCACCAGCTGCGGCTATGCATCTGCATGGAGGTAGGTAAAACCCTATCAGATGGTCTATTGTTAAAAAAAAGAAGATCTTTCTGAGTGTTTTACACATGTTGACCTTTTGATCAGGTGGTGCTACTGGTGGTGACTGAGTGTTGGGAATGGAGAGCAGGAAAAGTCCTAAAATGTCTCAAAAGGCAGTGGTGGAAGAAGTATTCAGATCCTTTACTGACTTTAAGTAGTAATACTACACTTTGAAAATACCCCACTACAGGTAAAAGTCCTGCATACAAAATATTACTTAAGCTAAAGTATGTAAGTATTATCAGCAAAATGTACCTAAAGTATCAAAAGTAAATGTATACATTTTGCAGTAAAATGTTGCCGGTCTGTGTTTTACTACATATGTTTCTGGATTAATATCAATGCTGCATTAATGTGTGTGTTGCATTTTACTGGTGTAGATTTGTTTAACTCTATATACTGTTGGCCATAGTTTAAACTAGACCAATGCATCATATTCTATTATCTATTATTAACTTTTAACTAGTGCTGGGCAATGATTACAATTTTTAATTGCGATTAATCGCATGATTTTTTTTGTTATGCGCAAAGTTCAATAATGAATTCAAAAGTAATGTGTTGCGCACTTTTATTTTAAAAGTACTGCTATATGAACAAAAGTGCAATAACATTTGGTTTGCAAACACTTTCAACAAAAAAGGTTATTTTTAACAGCAGTATTCCCTTTACACAGTAGCAGTTATAACACAGTTATAATGATTCTGATCATAGATATTCAGCCGGTGTTCACAACTTTATCTTCATGTGTGTAAGAGATGCAATTTGAAATATACACCTTAAAAACTGCAAACCTATCTACGTCATGTTGTTTTCTTCTTTTTTATGTTTGTTAAATTCTCAGTAGCGATAACTAAATGATGCTTATTATACATATTACAAACACAACACTTTAAAAACTCTAAAAAATTAATTTAAATTAATAATTTTTGCTTTTTTTGGTATTTTGGTCAGACACATATGCAACGCTAATTACCGAGATATGTGTGGTATTTGTTATAAATGTACGTTGGTACATAGAGGGTGATACGAAGCTGTACAAGGAGGAACTTAGGACCCAGGGGAATGTAGGTGAAGCAAGGGAACCTGGAGAGGGTCTGTACCATGGCAGTAACCTGCATGAGGAAGTTATGCTAATAAAAAGTTGCAGTTAAGAGCAGTTTGTTCTCACGTGCTTATATGTTCATTTAAAAACACGACAATATGTATTTTGATATTGTCACGTTTGATCCTGTAACGAGACGATCGCGCGTGTGTGTGTGTGAGACAGGAGGGACGACAGTGACGGAGTGAAGGGGGGTTCTGGTCCGGGCGTGTCATCACCCGGGGGTCGGCAGCAGCAGCAGGAAGTGACGCCACACAAACACAGCTGTTCATGGTTCTTGTGTTAAAAATGTCCGCTTAATAATAAATGAAAGAAACTGCGTTAACGCGTGATAAAATAATTGTCGGCGTTAATTAATGAATGCGTTGACGCGATAATAACGCGTTAACTTGCCCAGCACTACTTTTAACACTACACATCAACATGTCAGCATTGTTATTATAAGCATATTAGCATGCTGACAATATCGTTTAGCTTAAACCACCACTGCGCTGTATGCTGTCTACAGTTCATGACATTACCTCACAGAGCTGCTGGTGTGGCTGCAGACTTTTGGTTTAAAAATATATAATCAAGCTGCAACCATCAACAATTTTCCAAAATCTTTGTCTCTATGCCTTCAGGCACAGGAACAAAATTGCCACCCAGACCCATTTGCAGTATTGGACCCGGAGAGATACACTCTGCTATATGCCAGGGGGGATGACTGGTACGAGGCCTACGATGACTGTCAGGTCATCAGGACGTTGGACATCCCATGGTCATGTGACGACACCGGCCGTCTGTCGGCGCACATAGTGGTAAAACCGCTGATGGCAGTCGATTCGGAGGAGAAGAAGAAACAACAGCGGTGTTTGGCGAACCTGATCGGACACGACTTGGAGAGAGAAGCGTCTGACAGACTCGGCGAGCTCACGTTCACCCGCAGGAAACTGGCATCTCCGAGAAGACAAGAGCTCTGGGATCGGGATGATGAGTTGTATGCCACAGAGCCTTGGGTAACGTGTGCTCCCATTCCGAATGACCTTCAGGACCAGCTGAACAGAAAGCTCCCTGTCACCTTCCATTACATGAGCAAGATCAGCTTCAGCATACAGGTGGACTTTAGTGCAACACCAAGTGTTCTTCTCACATTTTTTAGAAGAGTGGCGGCAAACCAGAGGCTTGATTATGACACTTCGGACAGTTTGGTGTTGAAAGTCTCCGGGAGGGAGGAGTTTTTATCAGGAGACCACCCCCTGAGCGATTTCCTCTGGGTTCGACAGTGCTTGAAAACCAACCAAGACCTCCACCTTTCTGTGGTCCCTGTGTCGGAGCTCGCCGACGAGGCTGTCAAGTTCGTGGACTGGCCTCTTGTTGACGGTTCCAGTGGCCAGTTCAGCTCCCACGACGATCTCCGCCTCGAAGGGAAGGATTTGGACGACATCTTCATGATATCCTTGTGGGACTGCAACAGGAGGCTCCGAGTGAAATTGCTTGGCTTCGACATCCCAAACCTTCCGAGCAAATGCCCTCAGTCTGTTTACGTAAAAGCCTCCATACTCTACGGAAACAAGGTTCTCTCCTCGGTGTCCTCCCTTCCCAAGGCCTTCGCAGATGAAGTGCTGTGGAATGAGTGGCTGGACTTTGATGTTCTCCTCAGGGATCTGCCACGTGGAGCCAAGCTGGCTTTCACTATTAATGCTAGTGGTGGTGACATCCCCCCAGTAACCAAAGACCCAAAACCTTCAGTAACCAAAGACTCAAAGTTGTCTTTTGTCAATAAAGCACCGGACCTGCAGAAAGGGAAGGGAAATGTGCTCTACTTTGTCAATCTTCTCCTCATTGACCACAGGTAAGGTTTTTAATGTTAATTACAATTTCCAGTGTTAAATGTCAGAAAGGGACAACACGCTAACATGAAATGTCTCTGCACTGTAGCTGATTAAAAAGCGACTTGGTTGAATGTCCTACTGTATTTTCTTACGACAGATTTTATGGAAATTATGCTTCTAAAATGTAAGACATGATTTTATATGTTTAACAAGACATACAGGCAGAAATTCAGAAGAAACAGCAGTTTTATTTACATTAATATTGATATTGATAATAATAATAATAAAGCAGATAGGTGATGTTTTAGGAACATCCCTATAATCACTGTGATGGCAATGATGCAGAAATAATCATCTCCGCCAGGAGAGTCATGTAATTGCTTGCCCTTGGGTCCGCGCGTCCGTGAGTGAGTTTGCTCCTCTGTGTCTGTCCACCGCTAATCTCACATTCTGCTGCAGCAAACTGAATCCTATTTTGGGTGGCTGAGTGCGTCTCTGACCTCCAGCCGCTACACTTGTTCCGCAAAACTCTAATTGAAGGGTTTGTTTATTTCAAATTAATTTTCAAATTGTCCACTCGTTTGTCCCTCTAGGTCCGTGCTCAGCCAGGGCCCCTACACCATGCACATGTGGTCCTACCCTGATGTGGAGGAAGGGGCCATCACCTACCAGGCAGACAAGCTGTCCTCTGCCACTAACCCAGACATAGCAGACTCCATGGCTATCAGCTTCCTTCTAGACCGCTATAGCTTCCCTGTGGTTCTGCCAAATAGCTTCAGCAACTCTGAAAGCTCCGGCAGTCGTTCCTCCAGCCTCCCCCCGACCAAATCAACCACCCCCTCACCCCCTTCCACCTTACCCAGCACAGGTTCTTCCTCTCTGCATGAGAAACATTGCCAGGACTCATCGACAGACACTGGAGTTCTCAGATCCCCATCTTCAGTCACCAACACCAACAGGGCTTGCCTCAAAAGGTTCCGGGAGGAGAGCATCCACTACGCCTCGAATCTACCCCAATATCTGCGCAATGTTGATTGGATGAACCGCAGAGTGGTCGAGGATGTCCACTGGCTGCTGGGAAACTGGGATCCTGGAGAGTTGGATGTGACGGTGGCCCTGGAGCTGCTAAGCATGGACTTTGCTGACAGGACGGTCAGGAAACTAGCAGTCCAGAGATTGGAGAGCCTGTCCAATGACGATGTATTGATGTATTTGCTTCAGCTGGTGCAGGTATGTGTTTGTAGAGATACGGAGATAAATGTGTGTGTTGTTGATCTGAAAAACGTGTGTGTGTGTGTGTGTGTGGAGGAACTGTAACAATAACAAAATATTTGAACATACTTTTCTATTGGAAGCCAGTAGCAATATTATGCAATTAAATGCAAAAACACCACGCATGATTAATATAGATTTATATCCAAACGTATTATTCCTAAACTAAACAAATAGCTCCAGACCCCCAGGGGCCCCAAAAAGCCCCAGATCCACTGTGTTTCAACTGGATTTGGATAATTGACCGCTTTCTAAGCTCCAGCCTTAGTTACGGTCGCTAGACGTGTTGAGTTTCTGCACAGCACACATACAGTTTACAAATGAAATTCTTAGTCAAAACAATGCGTCGTTAATTTCGGACAGAGGTAGGCAAAAGCAGGTTTCTCGTTTCTAGCTAGCGTCCATTAACGGCTAAATAGACAACTGCTTTTAGCTAGCTAATTATTGCTAAGTTAGCAAAATATTAAGATGCCATATGTGTGCTCTGTACTTTATGGATGCTTGTGCACACTGATCCACAGTCAGAGAATGGGACGAAGGAGGGGGTTGTGTTGCACTGCATTGTATTGTGCAGGTGTTGATGTGTCACCTGTTTGATGCTCTCATTTAAGACTGGAATAAAAATAAAAGAATTAAGTAAACACATTGCTTGTGAATCATCATTAAAAAAACAATCTTCTCCCATTATGTTTTTTTTTCAGTTTGGATACATCCAAGAGGACGTGAAACCTTTTAGCATTAGCCAGTAAACTCAAGTACTGTTATTATGAAGAGGCCCGTATCATACTTGACTACAGATTGGTGACATTATTCTTTCTCTATCCTGTTTACTCATTCAGACTCTCAAAGTGGAACCTTACCATGACAGTTTCCTCGCTCGGTACCTCATCCAAAGAGCTCTGCGGGTGAGTCATGCAGCATCCGAATATTTGGAGCAACACACAATATGTCATATTTTATTTAGATTAATATAGAAGAATGTTAGTAGTACATCATTTTTGTCTTTTTTGTTGCCATTTTCCCCCACATTTAAAGAACATCCGTAATCATACTAGTGCAGTGCCGGTTCAGAGTGCGTGGCCGTATGTGAAGAAAAGTGTGGCTGTAACGTTAGCATATCCAACATCCAGCTGCAGAAGTGAACGAAAGTCAATGAGCAGCACACCCACTGTGAAGTAGATCGGAGGAACAGCTCTCGATCGACTGACAGACAGATGTTGCGACTTCACCATGTGGTCGAAACAGCCTGATTTGGGTTAAACCACGCCATCCCCCACCAGGTGTCAAAATCTCATCTATGTGTGAGATTTGCTTTAAACCACATCACTGGCATCTCATTGGATGAGGGTCATATGCACCACAGGGGATCCCTGTTATTCGGCCATGACGTCACTGAGACTATAAACATCAGCGCTAGCCTCAGCTCTAATCCATCCCACGCGGTTCGATTTTTATGAAAGGGGGCGCTGAACAACGTTGTTGCTGTTAAGAAAACTCTAAAAATAGTTCTACATTAACTGGTTGAACAATAGACTGTTTTGGATAGGAGAAGAGGATAACTTGTGTTTTTCTTCTCCTTATTGTTTAAACTAACCCATACACACACATACACATACTCATACACACATATAGGCTGTGCTGTTATGCTTATCTCAGACGCACATGGCGTGTAAGTATGGCCTCTATCGTGTGCCTCATTGCTCCATTAATTACCTCGCCGCCATTTTTGTAGTTTTGCGCAGCGTAATCTCATTCGAGACCACGGCCACCATTTTTTATTTTCTCTCGCTCCCCCCCTCCCCCCCTACATTAAAGGTGGTAAAGGTGCACAGTGGAGGCTTGCAGACGAGCAGATGGTCTTGAGGCACAGGAGACAAGAGCAGTTAATGTTGTGTCCATAGCAACACAAGGAAAACACAAAAACTGCTGAGGCCTGAAGCATTAATTACCACGGTAGCTGAGACAATAATCTAGCTAGGACTGGGAGGAAAGTCAGGGCTGAGGACATGATGAGTGGATTTTTCAACAAGTGTCTGCAGAGCAGGGAGAGGTGGCGAGTTGGTTGATGGCAGGCGTGTAGGTGTGTAGGACAGGAAGACTCACTTACACACACACACTGAATATAAAGAGTGATTTGGACTTAAACACTTTCCTTCCAAGGGTTTGTCAAACCATGTTTTAAAACACTCCATAGTACCACGCTTATTTTTTATTACAAGCTGGCAAATATTCAGGGAAAAAGTTGTATTGAGTGTGCGCCACTTCCTGCACTCCTACTTTAGTCACATACAACAGATCAACACTGGATGCATCGATATGTCCTGATGGACACCATGGACATCTCTGTGGCAGATACAAGCACATTTAAACTGTGAATCTTTTCAGCCCTGTCACACTGCAGCTACATCTGTGTCTGTATCCTTCACTCACCTCACCTCCACTGTCTCCTCCTTCACCGCAGAGCAAGAGAATCGGCCACTTCTTCTTCTGGTATGTCCGCAGTGAGGTGGCAGGGTGTCTGTACTTCCGCCAGCGCATGGCTGTGATTCTGGAGGCCTACCTGCTGGGCTGTGGTCAGGCCATGCTCGACAGCTTCACCCAGCAGGTCCAGGCTGTGGAGGCCCTGCAGGGGGTTGCATTAGCGATTAAAAAACTGTACCCCGACAAGTCCGACCTTCCTCCTACAGGTGAGACACATCCAAGAAAGACATTCCAATGGATTAATATACCATAAATATACTAAAGTCAAAATCAGTCAAATTTAAAGGTATGTTTCAAATGTTCAAACTGGGCACAACTCACTCGCAGGTCTTCAAACACAGTCCCTGTTCTGCTTTGACGATCCCGTTCATTGAGTTTGCTTTTGTGGTTCTTTGTCTACTCGTTAAAGCGCGAAGAGTGTTTTTTAGTACCTTAAGGTAGAAATGAAACATGAATTTTAGGCAGGTTAGACCATGTGTTAGAACATGTTTCTAATCTCACATGCTTATCTCATATTCTGTTGCAGCAAACTGCGTCATATTTTGGATGCCCAGTTATGGCTGCATGCTCAACAACCTCTTGTGGTTATGTTGACTCAAACGTATTCCAAACACTTTTTATTGTCTGTTTTACACACTGCCATTGACTTCCTCCTTCCTCCTCACTCACTACTCTTCACTGGCTGAAGGGCAGACAGTTTAGTGAGTTTAATTTCGTTTTTGTCAAGATTGTATGGGAGTCTCTATAACAGCAACTTGGAGCCGATTGCCTGCATACAGTCCAAGAAGTTGACTGGGACGGACTGATTAATTCCTCCATTTCTCCAATTGATTCATTTGAAATTTCTACATGCGTCTCATTTTTTGATGTTGTGTTCTCCTCCTTCCTCTTCCAAACATCCATCCAAAACAAATCAAACAAAATGAAACCATTTTCCATCAGCACTGTAGGCTTTTGCTGCAGCTCTGGCAGTTACATGGTACAACGTTGCCATGTAAATGGCGGAGTGATGTCTTTAGTGAGGAGCAGCGGCTACTTGTGCTGTCCTGCTGATTTGAGCACATTCTAAATGTCTATATCAGATTGCATGTTGTATAACGTGCTCTAGTGAGTGAGTGTTTGTGGCAGCAGGACATGATGACAAACAGCTACTCTTCCAGCCATCAGTGATTGGTTGATTGTGTGTAGCTCCCTCAATGTTCAGTTGCTGAAATCCGATCCCCCAATCCCCCTTACCAATTTCTATAAGTGTGTCTTTGTGTTTCTTTTGCTTTAGCTCCCCTCAAGCTTCAAGAGCTTCTTAGAAACAGTAATCTACCGAATGAATTCCTGGTGCCCTATGACCCCCGGATCAGAGCTGGAAGGATCCTGGTAAGCCTCGCTAATGCTGCTCGTGTCTGTGCAAATTGAGTGTGTTGGTGTTGAACGACAGTGTGTGGAATACAACATGTTACTCGTGTGTTTTGATGGTCCTTGTCGGCCATGTTTAGTCTTGTGTGAGTGGTAATGCCCCAACAGCCCACACACACAGTGATTACATACAGGTATTCACAATCAGGCCTTTTAGTTGCTAAGCTGCTAATGTACAAGAACACTTTTCACTTTTTTGTCTATTTCCCTCCTCTCTTTCTCTCCTCTCTCTGTTCGTGCCCTGTCTCTCCTTTTCCATCCATTCATTCCTCTTTAAGTTCAAATATATTTTTCATGTTCTCCAGTCCAATCCAGCTACTCTGACCTACAGTAGTCGGAATGTGAACTGAACGCTCGGTTAAACGTTTCCACTGTAATGATTGTTACTACATTACAATCATACATGGATGTCAATAAACATTTGACACCTAGTGATATCAAACTACCCAATCTAATTATGACTAAAATATTCCCAGTCTGGCAGTGAATGATGCAGAGTTTGTGTGCAGGCTCATGTGCTCAGATGGATGGACGGATGTTAGAAGGACGACACTTTTAAATATATCTGTGAAAAATAATCAAACTTTAACAGTTGTAAGGCTTTACATCGAAGGTCCACATCGGACCTTCAATAAAACCCATTCCCTATTAACTGTCAAGCTCACCATCAACAAATCGGTTCTCTCTGTATCCCTCTCGTCCAGCTGGACAAAAGCAAGGTGATGGCCTCCAGGAAGAAGCCACTGTGGCTGGAGTTCTCCCCCATGCCGTCACCCACCTCTGCTACACCCGTGGGAATAATCTTCAAAGAGGGGGACGACCTCAGACAGGACATGCTGGTCATTCAGGTCAAAGAGAATAAATTTGATCTTTAATTATTCATCTCGCTGAAAAATAAAGAATGTTGGTGTTTTATGTCAGTGAATATATTCCTACCTTTTGGATAAAGTGACACCTGACTATGTGCATCTTCCTGCTCAGACGCTGGTGCTGATGGACTCTATCTGGCAGGAAAAAGCTCTGGACCTTAACCTCGTTCCGTACGGCTGCATCTCCACAGGACACAACATAGGTCATTTTCACATTTATTATCGATTTATTCAGCTAGCTGTTTAACTATGCTGTCTGAAAGTTTGTTCTGCATATCAGCAAATGCTCATTAAGTCATTCGACCTAATTAAGTAAGTAAAATGTATTTATAAAGCGCTTACTTAATTAAACCCTACTTATAATAACTTGGAGTGTTGTCTCCATTTTCCATCTTCTTTTTACTATGTTACATAGTTTTCTTTGGGCAACCTCTGAGAAATGATAGACCCGTAAATAAAGCATTACCGTTTTATTTACCAACATGAAGGTCTACAATAAATGTTATTCTGAAAGTCCTAAGGCTGGAATCGAACCCAGGATGTTGCGGTTATGTCACCACTGCTAAGCTAAAAGCGGACTAGTGTCTCATTTACACACTTGTTAGCAAGCGCCTTTTCTAAGACGTATTCCTGACGTATTTTATGTCGGAGAACAAAAAAACGTTAACATCTCTTAACCAAAGACCTTATTTCAGAGGTCTTGCCAAAAACCCATTCATAAAACCCATGATTTTGAGATGAGTGTGCAAAGGACAAAAATGCTGACTCATTACTCCAGCTCCATTCTGGTTTAGTGTGACGTGTGGTGTGTCTCCAGGTGGATTTTTGCGGGTCGAAAGTCCCGGGCCGGGTTTGTTTTCCCACTCCTCCCCTGATTGGTGGAGCTTCTTTTGTTAGTTGGATGTTGGAACATAATTAAGAGATGAAGAGGAACTAACTGGGCCAGAAAAAATAATGTACAAGCGCTGTAAAACACTTTTCAACACTGTCCTTTAAACGTATATTTTCCAGCACCCAGGATACAAACAGGAAGTCCTTTGGAAAGTGATATGAACAAAACAACAAAAAGTGACATCAGGTTTCTCCTCCACAGGTATGATTGAGATTGTGAGGAATGCAGCGACCATCGCTGCCATCCACTGGAGCCAGGGAGGAACGTCAGCAGCCTTCAAGAACGATGCTCTCTTTGAGTGGCTCAAGTCCAAATGTCCACTCCAGGAAATAGTAAGTAATCTGGACGTAGTTCAAAGGCAGGGTTTTCGACAAGATGTGGACCCGAATGAAAAAAGCCCGCTCCAGTCAAGCCTTGATGTTTGAGATGGTCTGGCTAAATGTCATCGGTCTGTGCAGCTGCCCACTTTAAAACACTGAAATAGTCATTTTTATTTTTGTCTGTGCTCACACACAGTTACTTTTTCTTTCAGTGGACACATCTTGTCACTAGATGTCTTGTCTTTAACACACTTTCACCTTCCAATGGAACCTTTTTACAGCGTGCCTAAATTAAGAGTGTAGACCAGTTGACTTTTGTTCCTTTTATTTCAAATATATTAATGATATAGCGTTGGTATTAGATCTGCCACGTTACCAATTGTGTTACTGCACTGCTGTGATCTCATTTGACTACAGCACTACAAGGCCGTGGAGAGATTTGTGCACTCCTGTGCTGGTTACTGTGTGGCCACGTATGTGTTGGGCATAGGAGATCGACACAATGACAACATCATGATCACGGACCAAGGTATGCGCCACATGTTTGGTTCACATTCCCACACGCTGTTAAACCTGTCTGCATTTGTGCAAATGTAAACAATCCAGATAATGTAAATCTCACTGAGAGAGTGACCGAATGATGGAAAAGAGCAACAAATTAACAACACACTGAGTTGATTGACAGGCTGATTTAAATGCTTTTTGTATTTCCCGCGCCTCTCAGGGAACCTGTTTCACATCGACTTCGGTCACATCTTGGGCAACAGGAAGTACTTCCTTGGCGTGAGCAGGGAGCGTGTACCATTCGTCCTCACGCCTGACTTCCTGCATGTCATGGGCAGGGGCAAAGGGCGCAACAGCCTCTACTTTCAGCGCTTCAGGGTGAGAAGCCCTGATTGTGTGCATGTGTGTGGGTGTGGTTGTGTGTAATTATACTGATACTTTCATATCATGATAAGGCTGCAGTTGTTCTATATTTGTCATATTGTCAGCAAATCCTATGAAAAGACTAAAACAAACTGCAAAACATTCAAAATGCATTAGTATTTCTGTCAATGCGTCCGAGGTTTCACACCTTATCTTTGACTTGCAGCCTCAACCTATTAGTTCTTACAGAAGGCGTACATTAACAACTTTATAAAAAGGTTGTGTGTGTATGTGTGTTGCATAAGTGAATGGACAAGTGAATCCACTGTGCACGCGTATGTGCCTATGTGTAAATGTACAGTAGATATTTGTCAGATATTGTGTTCTGTATCCTATTATCTTTTGTCCTTATTTCCTTATCTTTTCTTCTTGTCCTCCATTCCTTCTCTTGTCTTTCTCACCTACTCACATTAGGACACTTGCACCCAGGCATACCTCTCCCTGCGCTCGCACTCCCGTCTGCTGGTCACCCTTTTCTCCCTCATGCTGCTGACGGGCATCCCTGAGCTGAGTGCTGCAGAGGACATGCGCTACCTGCGGGAGGCGCTCCAGGAGGAACAGGGTGAGGCAGAGGCCAAGGAGCATTTCCTCCAGCAAATCTCTCTGTGTGAGCAGCTGGGCTGGACTGTGCAGGCCAACTGGTGGATCCACATGGTGGCAGGCATCAAGTAGAAACTCTGAATCGTGCTGCAACATTTTGTTATTATTAATGTCTAAATGTAATATTGTTTTATTTTTTGTGGTTGTTCTCATTGTTTCTTTTTATGTATTATTTCTAAACTCATGTACTCCCTCACCGCGGCTGTTTTTATAGACTTTTGGCACAAAAGATGCTCTTCCACCTTTCTAAACAGGATGAGTCGACAGCATGTCAAGATCAAGTCAGCCAGAAATCTCACTGGCACCTCAAACACGCCTATTCTGCATGTTTGGCTACTGAAATTAGGAAATGACCTTCATCGTTATTTTATTTAAATGTAAAATTGTCTGAGTGCCCCTATTTTTATTCATATTGAGCAGAAGCTCATATAGTGTGTGTGTGTATGTATATGTCTATACGTATATATATAGTGTACTGTAACGTTAAAGGGGAACTGCACTGATTTTACATGTCAAAGTTTAAAGGTGTTGGCAACTGCATAAGTGAAAAAAGTTGTATAAAGCCAGTCAGTGCCAGTTGTTAACTTACTAGACCTTTGTAGTCTGTTCCTTATCTACACTTGATTAGAGCAAGCCCTGATATACAAAAATGAGGACGTGACTTGACTGGCATGCGATATACAAGGTTGATTAATACAAATTTGTTCTAAAATTCTAAAATCCCAGATTATTAAATAAAAATGACACACCATGCATATTCATGAGGGCGTGTGTCGCATCATTTAGAATACAAATGTGGAAACTAATAGGGTGATGTCCACAATGGTACACTCCTTGTCTTGTTAAACCACCTAATACTACAGTAGGCTTTATATGAGATGTGAACAATGAGGCATGGACATTTGTCAGATATAATACGATGCTATTTATAATGTCATTAGTTCCCAGGTATGAGATTCATCCACAGCTGCTGCATACGTGACAAATGTCATACCACATACAACTACTCCACATCATGACTGTATTTTTCATACAACCACATTCAATTTTTTACATTAAACTTGTATTTTCATCCAAAATGTGTAATGTACGTGTAAGGGGCAACACCCAGGAGCAAGTAATTTCACTCGTCATGAAGAGAAGTGCTCAGCCTGTGGAAATACGTGTTGGAGAGTCTAATGAAAAGATGCTTTTGAGTTGCATCATGGGAAATGTAAGATTCAATATTTTGGAGGTTGTCCTATCCTAGGGACTGAAAGTCCGGAAAACATAACCTCTGCTGCTTCTATTTGAATCTGCAGTCTGGAAAATCAACATACACATTTGGTCAAATCAAACAACAAAGATTTTCATGGAATGCTTATAACAATATAATAATAACAGTAAAATAAAATAAGTGGAGAGCCATTTTAATGTTTTTTGAAGGAGACTAGAAAGAGTCTGACTTCATTTGTGTTCATATCCTCAAAAGTTGTACTGCATTGAATAAAAACCTCTGAGACGTAATGTGTCGTCTTTAACATTTTCTCATCTCATAACTGCAGACCTTGTGGTCCCACAACAACTCTCATCGTGACGTAAGTAAAACACACATAACGTACATGCATGCATGCATAGTATTGGTGCAGAGAAAGGGTGTATGGGGAGAAATGTAGGGAGAGGAGGGAGCAGGGGTCGTGGTGGACTTTAGGGTAGAGAGACAGACGGACGTCACTACCATGGATACAACATGGATCGCTTTGCTTGCTGTTTGTTACCTTTCCACCCTCTGTCTCCCCATTAGTCATCATGATCAACGAGGGACATGAAAGTTCACTGCCTTCATTATTGACAGATTGCTGAACATGGTAAGTCCACGCTGTCTAATAATTATCACACACACTTGTGTGATGTGCATTGCCCTTTTTTTAAAACAAAAAGCTTGTTGCCAAGGCCAAATAAAGCTGTCTCTTAATTACATCCATGTTGCTTGGTTACAAATTCCAAAAGAAGGGCCATGATATTATTTTAAGAGTAAGACTGTTGTGTTTTATCATCTTTATGTCTGCTGCTTTCTACCACCAGGTGTCACTGTTGTAAAGGAGGTACTCCTTGAGACTCTTGAGTATAGACAGTATGAGAGTAAAGATGGCCACTGCTAAATGTACAGTGCTATGCTACTGTGCTAGCGACTAAGAGCTTTTGTTTTATGCTATGTGCATCCTGTTGAAGTAAACGGCACATTCATCACCTATGGAGCTGACAGGATCCCAAAAAGAAGAAGTTTATTTAGTTGTGTAAGTCAATTTGCAACATATTGCATCCCACCAATTCGTTACATTGGGACTCAGGCGGCAGGTGACAATTCTTTGTAACAAAATTCAAGACAAAGCAATCAAGCAAATTCACGAGCTGGAAAAGGAACATGGCTTTTATTTAAATTATTTTCCTATCCTAGCCCCCGATTGACCCTGCTATATACATAATTTTTACATTCGAGACTTTTGCATTGAAATCTACTTTTGAGTCATATAAGCCTGTTGTTTTTTTGGTTTGAACTCAAAATGATAGAGATTTGAATGATACATTCCAACCCATATGAGGAAAAAAATATGACGATGGATAAGGTTACAGGGATAAATCCAAAATATCTCCGCATGGTACCAGATAAGAGAATGAGGAGGTTTTTCAGAACGAATGATTCCCTGAGAGGCCCAGTGCAGTATTTCACTGCATCTGTCTACTGTAGAAGACCGTATACATGAAAAATATTAGATTCATCTTTTTTTGCCTGATGGAGGCAGTGCAACAAGCTGTGAACACAATATTGACTATCCCTTCATAAAAGCTTACATCGCAAACCTGTTAGCAAACGGTCACCATTGACACATGTGCAGACATGGGGCAGCATTACAAGTTATTTGGAATCATGTCCAGTATTCGCTCTCATTTTAGCTCCGTTTTGGCCACCACCGGAAATAACTTGCTCTTAGGCCCTGAGCAGACAGAGTGCTTTTCAGCAGCCTGGTGCAGCTTTTGGTAATTGTTTTCAATGAAAGTCAAGCGCTTAGGGCACTGCTTATGCGTTGCTGAGTGCTTCGCGTTTTCCCCCTCTTTTTGCAGGAGCGCCCTGAACGCCACCATTTGTAAAAACGTCAACTAAGAGCAGAAAAGCGCCTGACGCCATGAGCATTGTTTTTTCATTGTGATGTCTTTTGCTGGATACCTGGAGCTACATGACTTTACTAACCGTAGTTAACATGATCTGTACAGAAAACAACGGAAGACAAAGTTCCTGCTTCAGCTTCCAGACCTGGTCGGGATGCACAGTGGAGGCTTTGAGTTGCCTTCCGGGCCAAAGCAACGTTCAATGGGGAAACTCAAATTTGACCGACCAAGTGACGCAGGAGTGCCCAATGATGGGCCAGTAAGTTTAGTCTTTAACTGCAGTGAATACATGCCTGTGAAGGGGAAGATCATTATTGTACCTTATGGGATCCTTTTTTTAATATAAAAAGATATCCATTGACTGTAGAAAATGAAACCTCATGACTTTTGTTCTGCCCACTAGCAGCACCATGAGGTTGACAATTATTGTGATGCAATTTGGTACACAAAGATAAAAAAAAATCTTTGAGATATCTTAATTTTAGTACAGTTTTTAATTTTCAAATGTATATAACCCCTTTGTGTGTCTCCCTCTATGTCTTTGTCTCTAACTTCCAAATGTACCCTTCCAAAGTTCTGATTTGGCATGTTCATGTCTCTATAATGTTGCCATACTGATGCGCTTGGAGCTGCAGTGGCCCGTGGCTAACCAGTCATGACACCGGATGGCGTCACTTGTCCCCCACAATGTGTTGTCTCTGTATGCTCACATGCCCTCGTTGCAATCCCTCAACAACTGAACTTTATGCACGCATGTGTGCAGGTCACCAAGTGGACGGAAGGAATGTTGTCTCTAAGTGTGAAGTGAGGAGAATAGATAGATAAAAGAGGGGTTGTGCCCGTTCCTTGTTCTGTAATAGGCTTGCAGAGCCAGACTACATTAAACAAGTTCAGTTTCCATCAGTAATTCCGGTCTGGAAAACATCATGTGAGAATCAGCTGAGTCCAGTATTGCCTTTAAATAAAACTGCTGCATGTCAAATTCATAAACAGATTTTGGAAAATTAAAAGGATGGATTTGTCAAAGTTTGCATGCCAACTTCTGTGGTTGTCCTTGAATCAAAGACCCACACAGTGTTGATTAGACCTCTGCAAGGTGGACCTGTACAGGCTGTGCTTGATTGGCATCTCCCTTTTAAGGCCTTGCACACCCATGTGTTTCAATATAGAAATAGAATAGGACTTGACATTTTTTTCCCGTGGTCTTTAGAAATGGGTCATTGTTGTTAGTTGTTATGATGTCAGTGGGGCCGTAAAGTGTTGTGCAGCTTGTCAGAAAGAGAGCCGATGAAGCTTCCGGTGACGGATGGCTGGCTAGTTAGCTAGGTAGCAGCAGGCAGTGAGACGGAGGGGCCGTTAGATCCAGCGCTGCTGCCGGCCACCAGCTCGCTGTTTGCAGCATTTTTCTCTAACCAGTGTAGCATTAAAGCTAGCAAGCTATCTAACTAGCCAGCTGTCTGCTAGTAAACTGTCTAGCTAGCTAGCTTGCTAATTCCACCATGCTTTAATGCCACACCGGTTAGAGAAAATGAGCTGAATAAAGTTGTCACTCATCTGACGATAGCATTGTGCTTTCCTACGCTGTGACAAGAGTGTATGAATTAAGCATTAGGTTTTTTAAATTTTACTCATGTACTCATGTACGTTACTACCCCACTACTCGTCTGAGTCATTATTGCAAAACCACACCTCAGTGCAACTTGCCGTAAGTCTCTTTAGTTCATACGAAAGTTAGACTGCTACAACGTAATGCAATTACAACTGGCAATGGTACACGTAAAAATGGCCGCCGCTCTGACCATCCTGTTACGTTGACCTGAATCAGAATGTCCCTTATACTCCCATTCTATTTCTATGCTTTTCAATTATAAGACAAACGTATGCTGTTCGTTATAAAAAATACTCATAATTGGTAAATGGTAAATGGACTTATACTTGTATAGCACTTTTCTTGTCTGCCGACCACTCAAAGCACTTAACACTACATGTTCACACACCCATTCACACCCATTCACACCCATTCATACAGTGATGGCGGTGCAAGGTGCACCTGCCCATCAGGACTATCTAATCATTCATACCCATTCGTACACCGCCAGAACAGTTTTGCCCAAGGACACATCAACATGGACTAAAGACACAAGATTTGAACTCTCGATGTGTATTTTAGAGGTTTGGCGCCCATGCAAGGAGCTGAATTAAGGAAAGTAAAACGTTTTAAAATAAAACATTACATAGCCCTGATGAAGACCCCTGTCTGTCGCAACACGCTGGTTATTTTAAATACATATAGCCACGTAAAAAATATTTGCATATTCATTTTGCACAAACCCTATTCTCTAAGGACGCTTGCATGTTATTCTCTTTTGAGACCATATGCACCAATGCAATAAGTGCTTCAGAACATTGAATTATTACATGATTTAAATTTAAAAAACAATGGCACTTTGGAGGCAACCGCAACACTAGAGCTCACTAGAGAGCAAACATTCACTTTTGTTGACAAGACCTCAAATGATTGTAAACAAAAAGCAGCCTTTACAACAGGATTCCAAAGTAAATGCTGAATTATTTATTTTGTTTTAAAGGGATTTTGTGTGTCACCTTGTGTTGCTGTGAGCACTTTTGCATTACATGCTGTAGCAGACAAACTCTTTACAGGTCCAGTTTGTAAACATTTAGGAGAATGTATTGACAGAAATGGAAAATCATATTCATAAATATGTTTTCATTGGCGTATAATCACCTGAAACTAATAATAGTTGTGTTTCCGTTAACT